TATAGAAATACTAACAAAACACAACCCAAACTGAAGCATAAAACTAAAAACTAAAACAGAAGACTTTAATAGGACACTCAGTAAAAATATTAACCCTCAATTACCACTCCACAAACACAGTATAGACCCAAAACACAAGGGGAAACAACCCCAACTTTATAATAAACAGGATTAATATAAATAAGTAAAGTTCACTAAATGCCACTCCCCTCAGCAAGAATGTCGATGAGACACCAGCCATGATACTATACATCATTAAAGAACTAAGAAGGTTAAAACCACCTACATAGTAAAAACAAAAAGGCAAGGGACAGCGGATCAGTCGGACAACTCCAAAAGTACCCAAAACCCCAATAATGAATAAACGAAATCACATAACACACAAAAGCCAGAGATAATACAAAAGAAAATACAATTAAATCAACATGCAATCGCACCAACATGCCAAGTTAACGGTCCACAGAAAAGGACAATATGCTTTTCACGATAAAGCAATGAACTAACGCCACAATTAGCTCGTTAAAAACTATGGAAAGCAAAAAAATCAACTGCAACTTCATGAACAAAAACTCCGACGGCTACAGCACCAAACTGAAATTTATGAAAGGACGAAATATTAGAACAAAAGGACGTGTAATATAACTTATAGTTTCTGCACAACAAGCCAGTTGACAGATGTATAAACGAGTTCCAATGGGAATAAAATTTCTGAGAAACTCCCGGCGACTACTTAACAAACGAACCAAACATAGAGAGACAAAATAAAAAAAACACGTAACAACACAAAAACATCACAAAAAAGGAGAGTAGCTATAAGGAAAACGATAAGCCAAAAATAAAACCAGGACAACCTCCTCCATTTTAAATAGAAAATAATATGAACATAAACCTAACACACGATTATAAAGTAAACTAACCAATTTGCGGCGGAGGGATGGCGGAACAAAAGCCTGTGGGAGGAGGTGGAGACACCACAGAGTGTGGCACCGTTTCCAGTATTCAGTGGCAGGTCCTGAAGTTGGAGTCCGGAAACGTCCTCGTCACAGGAAGAGCCAAGACAGCATTGCTCGGCATCCCTCTCAGCAAGATCGATCCTGGGTAAAAGCTGGAGATGAGCGATGGAGGGCCCGGAGAATGCGCCATCCACCTCATTGCGTGGCCCGTCGATGTGACGGATGACTAAAGTAAATTGCGGAATGTGGTCCATTTGACGAATTTCCGGGGCGTTGAGCTTGTCGGAAGTGGACTTCAGAGCTAGGCGAAGGGACTTGTGATCCGTTAACACGAGCACGAGTGGAGACTCTCTAGCGGCAGGATGGTGTCGGCATAGTGCGGGGGAAACCGGCGCTATAAATTCGCCATGCCTCGAAATCGCCGCTGCGTACGTTCGGAAAAGGGAGGCGGGAAATCACGTATAGCCGCGATGTTCAATGGAAGAGGACGGATGCTGTTGGAGTAGACCAGATGCTTGAGAAATTCTGGGGAGGACACCGAAGACCCACTTGGAGGGGTTGATAACAACGCGATCGAACTACGTTGCAAGACGATCCACATATTCTTCGACGGTTGCGTTAGCAATCAACAGGTCTTTGATATATGCGTAGACAATTGGTAGGCCGCAAAGCAGTCTGCCTACGAACATCTAGGAGTTCCGAGAGACGTTGAGGAGTCCAAGCGGCCTGCTCAGGAACTCAAAAAGGCCAAAGGGAGTGATAACGGTTGTCTTCCAAACGTCAATCTGAGCGATAGGCATTTGGTGGTAGGCGCAGACCAGTTCGATCTTCGAAAACACAGATATGCCAAATAGGATGCCGACGAAATCCTAAAGTTTCAGGACAAGGTAGCGGTCCGGTGCGGTAACGTGGTTCAGGGCTCTGTAATCGCTGCAGGGGCGCCAGTCACCAGTCGCGTCGGCGATAGCCAGAGGAAGGGACACCGGCCGTCTTCACCAGCACACAGTTACGCCATCTCCATCCCAGGTCCCAGCACAACATATCCTCTAAGCAGCTAACTCCTATACAATTGAAAGTGCTGAGTCATGAAGCTTGCTTCAACACCGATCCGGTCAATCTCATGGCCACGGTCGAGTCGATCCTCAAGCAAACCAGAGAACCGGACGAGGCAACGCATCTCATTCGGCAACAAGTTACCTCCTTGCTGATGGCGCACAAGTCACGTGCAATTATTACCAAAGCGGAGCAGAACGCTCTCAAGGCACTCAGGAATGACACCAGCATTGTAATAATACCGGCAGACAAAGGACGTTCCACGGTAGTGCTGGATAAGACTGACTATGTCCAGAAGGCCAACGCTCTGCTGGAGGACCGACAGGCCTACCTCCCATGTGGTGAGTAATCGATAAAGACGGTTGGGACGCAACTGCAGAAGACGCTCGCCGAAATGCAATCAAACAGAGCAATAAGCAAATCGGTAAGGCTGACCATTAAGCCAACAGATGCGGCCGCAGCACGTTCCTATGGCCTACCGAAGGTACA